CCCCTCTCCCTTGAAAATTAGAGCTTGCTAACCGTGTCTTTCCTCCAACTCTCTTTGTCATTAGAAGTCTCAGAGATAGTAGCTATCTCAGACCTATACTTTCAGTATTTGAACAGTTAAGATTTAATCACACAGGGGAAAAAATATATCTTCCATGGGCTTTATTATTGTCTTTTTTTATGCTCACATAGTAGTACACCACATCTGTAGCTAAATGGGTCTAGCTAGATTTGTAGGTACCTTCCTTCCTGGCTGCTTAGGCAGATCTCAAAGTGTTACCAGGAAGGTACTTCCATATTCCAGAGATATCCATGATGTCCCATGGGCTTTCTGCTGTTGTACTTTGTTCGGGGTTTGTTGTTGTTGTTGTTGTTGTTGTTGTTGTTGTTGTTGTTGTTGTTGTTGTTTGGCAGAACCAGGGATTGAACTCAGGTCCTTGTGCTTGCCAGGGAAGCACTTTTTCCACTGAGCCATCTCCCTGGCCCCTTGAACTCTGTTTTTATACAGTTATGCTACTGTCCCCTTACTTCCTTGAATCCCTGGATGCTGCTGCTGTTTACTAAATACATACTAAGTGCCATGTACTACCGAGAAAGCTACAAAAGTTAGCAACAGTACAACAAAATCCTTTTAGCTTTGTTATTGTGGTGTACCTTCTGAGTTTTAGACTATCGTTAATGACTACAAACATCATTTATGACCATGATCTAATTTATTTTATTTTTTAATGTACTTAGTATAGGGTCTACAGGGTCTCACCACACAGATCAGACTTGTAGTGATCCTCATGTTGTCAGTCTCTTAAACACTGCAATTACAGGTGCACACCACCATGCCCAGTTCAATCTGATATTTTTATATTGTACTAATCCAGTATCTCTTTAGACCTTTGTGACAAATTAACATAAATCATTTTTTTAATAAAGGCTTCGGCTAACTGAAAAAGACTCCCCAAATCCTAGAAAAGTGATTTTTCTCTCAGATAAAGTGATAGTGAATATTCTATGGTAACAACAAACACATTTTTAGAGTGCCTAATCTATTATTTTTATCTAGGCAACATATTAGTACAGAAATGAGTCACTTTAGGATACATACTGTTTTGGATAAACATATAACCTTTTTCTTACTCCATCTCTGTAATCTGCCCATCCAGTGGGGTTTAGGTATTGAGTTATGAATCCCTTTTCCATCCTTACTTTATCTTTTACTGCTTCTTTATGAACATCTAGCCTGTAGATCTAGTTTTAAGACAACTTATTTACAACATTGCATTACTCCAAAAAGAATTGAATTCGTAGGGCCAGTGGTATATCTCAGCAGATAAAGTGCTTGCTTAGGTAAGCGCAGGGGCCAGGGTTTAGTCCCTGGCACTGCATTCTGCGCCAGCCCCACCCCCTAGCGTGCTGAGCCAGTGATGGAGTCCAGGCGTGGTGTCACATGCCTGTAATCCCAGCACTAGGGAGGCAGAAATCAGGAGGTCACTATGAGTCCAAGCTGTGTAGTGAGACCCTGCACAAAAAAAAGAATGGAATTCGTACTAATGAACAAAGAGAAGAAAAGAGTTCAAAGGCTTAAGTGCCTGTATGGCAAGAACAAGGTCCCAAGTTTGATCTCTGGTACTGCGGGGAAAAAAAAAAAAAAAGATAAGAATGTAGGTTCTTGAGCAATAAAAGTTTAGAGAACAGCCTCTTGTGAGTCAAATTTCAATTAATGGGTATCTTTTGAGAAAAGTATTGTAATGGCAGAGGTAAGAGATTTAGGCCAAATTAAAGAATTTCCATGTCACCAAAACTGTATAATACTGTAATACAGTTAATTTAATTAATCTAAGTTTAAACCTTGAACATTTAATTTCAAACTGCATAGCTGGAAATAAACGTAATCAGCCAAACTTTTTCCCTAAGGGTATTTTTTAGGACTTTGAGTCTATAAATTCTTTCAGTCAGAAAGTAAGCAGTAGATTTTGGTTCTCCAATCTGAAAATCCAGGCCATTTGGTTCTGGGAAAATTAAAATAGTCTCATTTAATTTATTTGATTATTTTTCTACTCTCAATTTTGTTTTTCTTTCTAGAACTCCTACTAGCTATTAATAAGACTAATACTCTAATTTTTCCAAACATTTCTTTGTATTTTCAGAAAAATTCAAGAGATTTTACAATCTATATATATACGTACCTACCATTTAGTTGTGCGTTAATATTATTTCTTTTTTTTTATTTTTTATTTTTATTTATCCACTGGTCTGTCTTATTTTCTCTATATTTCACAGTAATTGTAATTACCATGTAATTCCAGTACTTGAACATTCAAATCATTTACTAGAGTTCAGAACTAAACTTGATAAAATAAATTTTGCATTGTCTTCTTTTGAGGTAAATTTTGCATAAAATATTAAAAGCTACTATCAAGATAGCAGACATTACCGAAATTAAGATAGCAAATATAAACATTAAGGCTGGCCAGATAACTCAGCAGATTAAAGGGCCAGCTTAGGCAGACACAGGGACAGTGTTTGATCCTCTGCGTGCTGTGCTGACCCTACCCCCAGGGGACTGAAACTGGTGCTGAGACTGCCAAGCTGCCTTCCCAGCCCTTATTTATTCTTTTATGTTACCCCACTTTTAGTGGGATATATTTTTAGTGTCCAATCTAAGAAATATTTTCTTTGAATATTCTTCTG